CAGACAGCAAAATGCTGGAGATCAAACTGAGATCTGCACTCCATTTCAGTCAGTCTTCATTGTCTCCCTAAAGAGCCTGCTCTAGTGCAGGTAGAAGTAATGGGCTTGATGCAGGAGTCAGTGACAGGAAACCGCTGTGTTAAGCAATTGGTTATAGAATCATAGAATGGTTTGGGTTTGAAGGGACTTTTTAAAGGTCATCTAGACCAACCTCCCTGCAGTGAGCAGGGCTAACCTTCTGAGTCATACCCTGGCCTTAAAATCTAAGAAACTATGAGCTGGCTGATGGCTGGAGGAACCTTCTTTAGCTTCCAGTTTTACGTACTTCTGGACTAAAATTTCTAGTACTAGGTCAGAAACTGCTGCTCAGATGACCATCACCAGATTGAAGAGTACAAGTCCTCACCAGCCTTAATGACTTCAGGGACCTTGAGGGTCCCTGTTACCCTCTGGGGCTTTCAGGGTGGGATGCCGCCTGAAAATTTAGACACCTGGATGCGCCCATCTGTGCCCTCAGTGTCCAACTAGAGATTCCATTAAAATACTCCGTGGAGTTTAGAAATTCATTCAGCTTAAGGTAGTGTTCAGTGCACGTTACAGTGCTCCATTTATTAGAACCAGAACTTAGGGCTGGATTCACTTTCCTGGACACAGGAGCCTGGTGTTATTTTAAGCTCTGCAGGGACACCCCTCCGGCCTGAGAGGAGGCCTGATTCTCATAAATCCTCTTTTGTACCTGTCACCCTAGGAGGACGTCTCAGACACCTCGGGGCATCTCAAATGACACTAAAGACAGCTGTCAATTGACTCCTGCCCTTAGCTCTATGCACACATGTACAACAGACCTTAGTTTTGAGCGTCTTATTTTGCGAGCTGAATCCCAAAGCATATTTCTGGACAAGTCACCACCTCACTCTGCAGGCTAGTTCAGTGAAATCGATGGGCCTTACTGGTGCAGAGTATGATGGTTGGTTAAAGAATTTTGCCAAAGAAAACATTTCTCCTTTTCCTGGCAAAATAAAATTCTCAACACCTCCTCAAACGGAGCCTCCTACTGAATGGCAGACATTCATACAGTGGAGGTGGGTGACAGCCTCAGGTCAGAACTGCTTTTGTAATTCCTCACATCGATATATAGACAAGGGCCTTTGCACCACTTCAGCCCAAAGGATCCCCACACTTCCTGCTGTGAGCACCTAACACTGGGTCCCAAAATTGGCTGTTCAGGCTCCCTAGATCCCTGTACAGTTGAGGCAAAGACGTTTGTTTTGCTGATAGTCTCTCAGAGTATGAAAGGTAGGTGTCTGCTACGCAACAGCCCTATGGAGGCTCTTCTCACTTAGGAACCCAAGTTAAACGCTTATAGTGCAAATTTTTCATTTCATAATGAAAAAGAAAATTTTATAATAAAAATTTCTATGATTCTAATTATGTTCTTCACCAGGTCAGAGGACAATCAGCTTTAATTTCCAAACATTAAGATGTCTCATCTCTTGACTGTGCCCAGGCACAACCACAAGCTGCTTTCCATCCTGTAGTATGGCCACACCAAGAAAACACTGTTGTGTCTCTGAAGAGTCACTCCTAGTAATCTGAAAAAGAGACTTGTGCTTCACCTGCTGGGTTCCAACACTGCAGGTAGTCACACAGAAGGCTGCAGCATGGCCCCAGCAGCATGACAGACACCCATCTGCAAGCTGCATGCAACAGCAAAATCAGGGGCAGGATTTCAGGGGCTCCGCATCCACACTGGGGCCAGATTTTCCAAAGAGCTGAACTCCTCAAAGGGCTGCAAAGCACAAACCACTTTTTGCAAGTGCTCTGCACTGTTGTGCTTCCAGGGTGGCCTTTATACACAACGAAAGCAGAGCTCTGTGACAAAAATAGTGACCTGTTTGGTAGGTCCTGAGCTGAAAAATTAAACCTACCGCTCATATTGGAATCCCCTTTCCATAGTACAGATATACATTGCTTTCAGCAAGAGATGAAGATGCTGAGTGGAATTAGGATGATGGATTCCGGACGTTGGGTTTCCCAATGCAGGGTGACATCGTTTTTAATAGTGTAGGGTCAAAAAGCATTTTAGGATCTATAAATGCTTTTTTGTGGGCATGAAAGAACACGTCTCTTCACTGGACTCTTCATCTGTGCAGATGCAACAGCAGTTTTTTCAAGGCAAAACCAGTCACTATGGCTTAGAATCATAACATGGTTTGGGTTAGAACCTTTGGGTGGCACCTTAAAGTTCACCGAGTTCCAACCCCTCTGGTCATGGGCAGCAACACTTCCCACTAGATCAGGTTGCTCAAAGCCCAAATGGCCTTGAAGGGAGGGGGCATCCACAACCTCTCGGGGCAGCTTGTTCCAGTGTCTCACCACCCTCACAGAAAATAATTTCTTCCTAATATCTAATGTAAATCTACTCTCTTTCAGTTTTAAACCATTACACCTTGTCCTATCAATACACTCTCTGATAGAGTCCTTCCCCTTTAAGTACTGTAGCTACCTTTAAGTACTGGACGGCCTCTATAAGGTTTCCTCAGAGCCTTCTCTTCTCCAGGCTGAACAACCCCAACTGTCTCAGCCTGTCTAGTGTGGATTTATTCACACAGGACCTTCCAGGATATAGGCTTCTCTTCTCTGACAGCGCTCAGTTCAGTGGGGGTTATACACAATTTAATACCCTGGAACAGTGGTACCTTCAAAACCAAAGCCCTGTGTGCATGTGAAAACCATCACAGCAGGTTTCACAAGAATAATGCATGTTTCCATTATATCTCCAGCCCACGATACTCCCTGCCAAGCACTAACCAACACGCATTTGCTTCAGAAATTTTGGGAATGCAGTCCCAGACTGATATGGACAAAGTGTTTTGGGATTAAATCTGTCACGAGACGTGTCTTCTTCATAACGCTGTGCAATAATTATGCATTATTATTATTGCACAGCAGCATGAAGAAGAAGAAGAGAGATAAGAATGACTGAAGCCGTCTCTGTCACTGCTCAGTATCTGGACTTGCCCTCTGGGAGCTAAAAAAAAACCAGCCTGAGGAGTGAGGGAATCACATCTCTCCCCATCCAAGGTTTTCTGTTGGAAACTGAAGTGTAAGACACAGTCTGCAGCCTAAGAATTGACGTGGTGATAGTCTCTCCCCTTATCTCACATTACACAAGTGACATTTGAAAATGGAGCGAACTTGTAGCTCTTCAGCGTAGGCAGCCGTGCTCTGTGCACGATGCTTACAACATTTCACATAGAAGAAAAAGAAAATCTCAGCTAGCAATCAAAGGGCAAAATGTTTTCAATGATTTAAAAGATAATTAGTAATTTTAATACGGCACATGGGAGAAATAATTGTCCATAGGCACTTCCAAAGCAAACATAATATGACAGCAAAATTCCAGGAAGTGACACAAGTGAAACTGAACTACAAGAAGTAAAAAGATACGTGAAAGAGAGATGTTTTTATCATAGAATCATAGAATGGCCTAAGCTAGAAGGGACCTTAGAGATCATCTTAATCCAGTCTCCCTGCCGCCAGGGACACCATCTCTCGACTAGATCAGGCAACACATGGGGACCGAACGGGAATTAACAACTGTAATTGAACTCAGGGTTAAGAATTGAAGAACTTCACATTCTAAAATAAAAAAATGACATTTTTAATGTGAGCTTTTGCAATGACAGCACAATAAAAACTAAAAAGTGACATTGTTGCTATTGTAAAGATTCATAAGCATGTTCACTCGCAGAAAGTATAAAGGCAAGAAAAAAAGTGAATTAAAGACACAAAAAAATTATTTCCTGGTCTGTTCATTTACTCCCCAATTCTCTGCTATTGCCAGATCACACAGTAGCACAAATCAACTTCAGCTACAAAATGACCAGGATTAAAAAAGTAGCATGAGTTCTGCTTGAACTCCAGACTCTGTTAGGGCAGCTGATTCAATCAGGAGAAGCTCAGTTGGGCAGAATCACTCACCACCCTATTTAGTTGTGCAGAATATTCATGAAAGTCACTGGCAGTCTGGGGCTAAAGATTCAGGATGCCATGATGCCCTTGAAGAATGCTCACAAATTTCCTAAACCCACAATGAAACCTTCAGCAGATATCTAGCTCCTTGGTTTGAAAGTTTGGGCCAAATTCTGTTCTTGGCACACTGTAAGGCTGAACATTTTCCATTCATATCTGAGGCTTTATTCTATATTTATCTCATGAGAGATTAACATAGAAATTAGTTCTTTGTGTCTTTTAGCTTGCAGGGTATTTAAGTGAATCTTCCACTGATTTGAAGGGCAGAAGTAAGCACCTAACAGACACATTGGCAGAGCAGGCTGATCGAATGTTGTTTGTCCTTGAAACAACCAGCAGCAAAAAAAAAAAATGCCTCTGCACCTGAATTCAGTTTCTGGCTAAATCAGTGTGACAAAAACTTAAAACCGGTCGGCTAGCTATAAATATAAAATCACTTTTACAGGAACACTATCACTCCCAGATTCCCACTAACTCCCAGTTTGAAGGCAGCGGCAATGAAACTGTGGGTGCAGCTGGGAGGTGGTACACGTGAGCAGAGCACAAAGTGATTCACATAGATCACAGATTATGCATTAGAGGCTTCAGCAAAGTCAGTCTGAGATTGTTGTACCTCAATTACAACTCCTGGCAGCTCACCGTAACATAACATGGGTCCAGTTTTGTCAGGAACTGAAAACACTCAACTTCCACCACACTTGGTAACAGCTGATGGCAATAAGCACCTTCCAAGATCACACCCTGGAAACAGACTGCACCATATTAAAAGTAAAAAAAGCTGATCTGAGCCCTGGGAAGCACATTCACTGTAAGATGTGAATGTGTCTTTACAGAAGTGATTCTGACCTCCCTTTGTACCCTTGCCTGATGTTGTCCTGGCACTTTCAAACTTTTACCCACCCAGCCAGACGAAATTTTACATCGAGATTACTTTTGGTCTGTGTTTACAAGTGCTTTTCTCTTACCTATCAAAAACCACGGCTGCATAGGCGGGCTCCGCAAAGATGACATCCCCAGGCAAGAATTCCTTCTGCGCTTTCAAGCCCCTGCCTTTGCCTTCAGATGTGAACACTTCGACTGACTCCATTCCCCCTTTGGTCATCCCAGGGACCCCAAGGCTTGGGCGGTGGGTATCTCGTAGCAAGCCAAATCTCCTGGCGCTTCTGTCAGCTTCAACTTGCCACAAGACCACACTTATAAGTGGGCTGGCCTCCCCCCACCATTGGCCGCACCGTTTCCTATAGGAGGACGAGGGGGTGGGAGCAAGAGAGGCAGGGGGTGAAGTTCCCCCACGCAGTATCACTGACCTACGCAAGGGAAGGCACAGCGCTGGGACTGCTGCTTCGTTTAGGGAACCCCTCTCTGGAAAACACGTTTGGAATTGCTTCTCCCAGCCACAAGCAGTTGTATACGTTATGACTCGGTTAATTTATACTATTCTCTGTGCAGGGTATTTTTAGCACCCACATGCTTCTGTCTCTCAGGAAGCAACAGCTGAGACAGTCTGACAGGGAGAGCCACTATGCATATTTCTGACCCCTTCCACTGTCATCTGGCTTTTTCCAGAAGTTAAACAACACTGCTTTATTTTTACCCTCTAGGAGATGGATGGCATGTTTAGAGTCAGGGATAACAGTGAAACACACACCCTAAAATTCTCGGCATCCTCCATCACCACTGGAGCCTGGAAAAGAGGAGTCACTTCCCAAATGCCAGCGGCTGTACGGAGCAGAGTGGAAGGAGCTGGAAGAACAGCCGTGGTTTTGGAACAGGCTGCAAAAACAAGCAAGACACCTTAGTAACTCACACAGTTTTGGATGCACTAAACTTCTTTGGAACAGCACTGTGCTTGAGAACTCTCCCCACCTCTGATGCACAGCCACGGAAGAGATGGGGAAATTTAAGCCACCAAGTATAAAAGGAGAGTCCAACAGAGAGACTATAAGAGTGAACCTCACTGTGGAGATCAAACCCAGCCCAGGTTGTCGTTCAGCATTTTTTTATTACTTAATAGCACTTTGCGGAGCTGGTTCCTGCTAATCTCACCCTCACACTCCTAGGAAACAAGATGCTATTTCCTCTTAGATCTAAGCACTGCACAAGATATCAGCGTTGTCAAGCGTCTTCCCTATGTCTGTGCTGCTCAAAAAAACTTGTCTGTTTTAATAGGGGAAGTGAGGTGCAGAGAAAAAAGAGGGTCATTCCTGTCTATCCCTAGACTGTAAAAGAAATGCTTTACCATGCCAAGGTAGAGGGAAGTACTACTGTGCTCTTCAAGATAGTTATAGAACTGCTGAGCATCTTCTGCTAAAAGCTTCTGGCAATTTTCCTTGCCTGTGAATGAAGTATATGGTATCGTGTTTCAGTACAAATATGCTGTGTTATAGTTTGCCCACGTGTGCCAAGCACAAACGGTATTAATCCACAGCTCCATAAATTCAGGGCAACGCGGGTGTTCATGTGATTATGAGCAATCTTCCCCAAACAACCAGACTCCTGCAGTCATCCAGAGAAGGGCCAGACCTGTCACAGAGCCCTCAGCACAAACCTCCCAACATTTACACTGCACAGCACAGCAAAGTCATTGCAGGCAATTAGCACCTACAAGCAATTACAATTTTAATTGCAGTGCTCTACTCGTGTGATAGGTGATGTCAGGATGATCTGGTCTCATCTGTCACCCATGTTTAATTCCCCTGCAATTTTGAGATACATATATTTGTCACCAGTACCTTAGCACCTCAAAATTAGGTGCTATGTATGGGCAGACATCTGTGGTGTACCCAGTATAATGAACCCCTCACCCCTTCAGGTCACCAAAAAAACCCCTTTGTGGCTGAGACCGAGTGTAACAAAAGTCTTATTCCTGCCCTTCCAGTCTGGGAAATGCCACAGTGATGTACAGGAGGAGATCAGCCCTCTGGCTGCACATCACCCCCTCAGTACCACTGGGCCATGGTTTCAGACCCAGCTGCGTGCAAAAATATGGTGGAAAAACTGTTAATCTGAAAACACCAGGAAAACTGGAAAGGGCCAAGGGAGGCCAGGTATTAGGAATTCCTTTTTTTTTTGAAACACCTATCTGAAGCTGTGATGCTACTTAGAACGCCTTGGAAACACACTGAATTTCAAAGCCAGACGGGGAGGCATGATGATTTTGAAACACTGGGCAAGATCCACCCTTCAGCAGCGATTTTTTCTGTGCTTTGGGTCTGTTTGGATATTGGGCTGGTGGGACGAGTGGCCCCATCCTCCTAACAGCAGAGCAAACAGCACCCTCTAGTGCCCTCTAAAAATGCATCCAAAGGACAATTTTATCGTATTTAATCACCGCAGCTTTGGATTGTAGTGAGCAGTTCTCAGAGCCATGAATTAGAGAAGGAAAACTAAAAAAAAAAGAGGGATGAGTGCATGCTCCTTGGACATGTCCTGTCATTATAATTCAACTTTAGGCATAAAATGTAATCACCTGCAGGCGAGGTGAGGGCTGAAACCCCATTTTTGGGGTAACATCGGGGAAAATTTGGGGCAAATCTATCCACCCATTCTCGTTGGTGTAAATAGGGGAATTCAGCCCCAAATAGGGATGGATCGATGGGGGGATCACAGAGAGGGGCATCTGGTGGGTCAGCTCCAATCTGGGGAGTTTTGGGAGTGTTCTGGGGGCTGGGAGCCGAGAGGAGCCACCACAGTGAGGGGAGAGACCCGCAGTTACTAGTAGTTTCTAGGCAGGTATGAGGAAGTTACTAGGCAGATACTAAGCTGTTACTAGTAGCTACCACGCAGTTACTACATTATTAGGCTCCGCTGGTAGTTGCTAGGCAGTTCTGAAGCCATTACTAGTAGGTATTAAGCAGCTACAAGGCTGTTCCTAGTAGCTATTAGTTTTTTCTAGGCAGCTACTCCTAGTCCCTCCTC